AATTTCTATGAGGTAATTAATTTATACGAAAGATATAAGTGAACTCTATTGTATTAATTCTATTCAGTATAACAAGAATTCGTTTACAATGTTGGATACATAAGAAGCTTCGCGCGATAACAGCTTGTCATTAATTTCTGTCAGCTACAAGGGCGCTCATGTCAGACCCATCTCCAGTTATCTATCGACAAATTCCTTTGATAAGTTTCCTCTAAGTTGCAAATTCGAAATTCTTGGATAGTACAATGATTATTCATAGTCGAATATTGAAGATGCTAAACAGAATGTTCCGTATCTTTCCAAGAATGCAACTTTCATGTTGTCTCTGCAATTTTGTTCATCGAATTTCATATTTGTAAAGCACTTTGTCGTTAATTACTGTCATCTCGTAAATAGATTGTGCGGAGAAGCACATTAGGAACTCTGATGAATTTCAAGATCGTATGAAGACATTTCATACAGTTCATAGTTCAATTTCAAGACTGATATATACTAAAAGGGAAGTTATAAAATATACTAAGTGTAAATACTTTTTGTGTTGTAAATCAATAGGAATTTTAGGTAGATAAGATGAGGAGAACAAATTAATCTTTACCCTCATTTCATTTTCAATTTATATCACATTGCACTTTATTCAATTATTAATNACATGACATTTAGGCGAGTTCTTCCACTGCTAGTCTCTCACGTTTGCACAATTCAATATCTTTTATTGCACTGATTCATTTGTCCCAATAAGAATTATTTTTAATTGATATGTATGTTTTAATCAGTATGTTTGGAATTCGTCATTAAGACTTGAGGCTGATTCCTCGTTTTTTTTATTCAATTCAATTTTTAAACACTTCTTATATTGTAAAATCACGTATTTTCTTTGATATGCTAAACGATTTTAATTGTAATTCAAGGTACCTAGCCGTAACTCAACCACTGATATATAGTCGGCGACGGCGGAGCAAAAGATTGGCCGGCTTGATGATCGTTGCTGTATGGGTGCTAGCTGGCGCTATCACCAGCCCACCTCTGCTCGGATGTTTCCCACGGGCAACGAACCGTGATAGTAAAAAATGCTCGTACAATATGGACTCCTCATACGTAATATTTTCGGCGATGGGTTCTTTTTTCCTACCGATGCTGGTGATGCTCTACGTTTACGGGAGGATATCTTGCGTGATTGCCAGCCGGCACAGGAACCTCGAGGCCACCGAGAGTGAAAACATTCACCCGCGTCGTAACGCTTTAGTAAGCACTTCCGTAAATGAACAATTTTTAACAAGTCCCTTTAGAAAATGAAAGACTGAATTATTGAAATATGAAGAACACACATTCTACATTTGTATCATGTTAATGTACATACAGCGTCTTAATTCATTTATACACGTATATTTATTGCATTTATTTAAAAATATGTATAAAATTGAGTGGCCTTCAATCTAATTGAAGTATAAATGTATGCACAGTTTTCTCTCTATTAGCGCGGGATATGTGCACAGAATACTAATTAATGTCTAATATAAAACCTACTTTCCATACTTATTTATTGCACAATTTTCTGAAAACGGGTTAGACCTCCGTTCTAGTATGCCTTTGTTTTCATAAATTATCGGTTCCCTCCTGTATCCGACGAACAATGTTTTTGACTGTCGCTAGAGTCATCCGTGCGTAAAAGGTGTTTGCAGCCCTAGTTTCCCGGCGCGTGGTCGCGAATTTCGTTTCCCTTCTTATAACATACACATTGTTCTTTCGTCTATGAAGTCGTACGCTTTTACGAAAATCTGCATGTAAAACGCGAGATTTTACATGAACAAATTATTACACATCCGCATAATTTACAAACAAAACAGACATTCTATAATAACAGATTCCTATAATAATTGTACACACATTTTATAAATACAAAATTCTAATACTGTTGTTCCATAATGATTCACAATTTGTATGAAATAGAGTAACAGAGATTATATAATAATAATATTCTATAATAATTTTTGCATACATTAAATCTTATTAATATGTTCCATATTGATTCACAATTTGTATAATAATAGAATACCAGATTATATGTATATACACGTATAATTTTATTTAATACAAGGAATTACATAGCTGAAGTGTAGTATCTCAGGGGCAAAGTTTGCAGGGCGTCGGGTTCACTAACTGCAGGAATGAATCGAACGTAGATTTCTAGCTCAGCTCGAAAAGGCTGATGAACTCGTGTAAATGAGAAATCGATTCGCAATTTGAATCTATTGATACTAGGGTAATGCTTCTAAATCTGTCACGATACTATTCGACGAATATCGAGGGTAAAGATCTAAGAGTATAAAAGTACAGACTGTATCAGCGTCATTTTCGACAGCTAATTTTATTTTATCGCATTCTGTCTCATCTTCTTCAATTAGGATTTCGTGTTACGACCATTCATCATATTTCAATCAACTCAAAATTGATTATAAATCTTTGTGTAAATATCTCTGTCAATCGTTTTTTACTACGAAATAAACGTGAATTGTTAAAATTATACTATTATGATAAAAATACAAGAATGTACTATAACGTGAATAATGAAATCTACTATAACGAGAAAAATGCAGATTTTTTTGTTAATCGACTACAGGGCAATTACGAAGAGGAAATTGATTGTGGGCCAATTTTCAGATGGAACGGGCGAAGAGCATCAGGGTACGAAGAACGGAATGCGTGACCAGCAGTGTGACCTGTGACAGGGCGTCCGATGAGATGGAACCGGCTACTACGAGCAAAAAGTCTGGGATCCCCCGCAGCCATCAACAAAGTTGCATCAACAGAGTGGCGAGGGAGACAAAAACCGCGGGCACTTTGGCGGTGGTCGTAGGTGGATTCGTGGCGTGTTGGCTCCCATTCTTCATTCTCTATTTGGCAACCCCGTTCGTGCCCGTAGAGCCGCCAGATATTCTGATGCCGGCGCTAACTTGGCTAGGTAACCATCAACCTGCTTTAGTAATTGAAGTTCTTGACGCGGTCGTTTATATTTTCAAACTAGTTAAGCGATTCTCGTTAATACTCGAGCTACACGATGTCGAACTTAGAACGAACTAGCCTACTTATCTGGTTTAGGCGTGAGGATTAAATTAAGACCATCTTCATTAAATTTCATTTTCTTCATTATATTACAAATTTACAAATTACGTAATATTTATAAAAATTTATAAATCATAGTAGCAACGTTGATGAGTATTGTTGACAGCAAACCTACTTATCTGGTTTGGACACGAAGATCAAATTTATACAATTGTCTTAATTAAACTTCGTTTTCTTTATTATTACTCTTCTCTTCTTTAGTATTACAAAGATTGTATCATATCTCAATAAGACACAAATAATCAATATAATAATCACACATAAGTAATTAATTATATGAGTAATACGAAGATGAAGTAATTAAACCTTGTTAATTTCAGGATGGATTAATTCGGCCATAAATCCGTTCATATATGCCTTCTACTCAGCCGACTTTAGACTTGCGTTCTGGCGACTGACTTGCCGCAAATGCTTCAAAAGTAGAACCAATATAGATCGTGTCAACCGGAAATTGCCAGCCCCGGCTAATTGGAAGAAAGATGCAACGAGGACGTGAAAATCGGGACGAAGGAGGAACCGATCTTGACACGAACATCTAACAGGCTCGAAGGACGATGGACACGTGGATCACTTACACTGTAATTTATTTAAGATCGCAGCTCACATCGATCACTTTCACCAACGATTTCACGAACATCATTATGTTTACTACAAACGAGTAAATACGTAGTTAGAGGATCTGTGAAGTGCATATTCATTTATTATTTGAAACGTGTACATTTCGATCAATAAACATTGTGCGTACAAATGCAAAAGATGTTTAGGTACATTTACTGGCTATCAGATGTTTTACAATTTCCATTAATTTTCTTTGTCGAACAATGCACAAGAGAAACAAATTCATTTTAATACTCAGCGTAAATCATCTGAATAATACATTTATTCGCATGCTTCTCCAATGATGTACAGATCATTTTATTCGTCTAAGTAATAGAGGATGAAAATATAAGAATATTTATTTGTTTCGACTGTAACAGTATTGTAAAATCCTTTACTATAATGATACGTACGTGCATACTGTAAGAAATAAATGAGATTGGTGTCTACTTCCTAGGATCTACCGACGACAAAGTAAAAATAATCGACCGTGCGTGATAGTTCTCCTTTTGTCATAATTCCAATGAGTTATCTGTAGGCTGCGGATTTTACGCGTTTACAAGAAGGATTATAAACTCTGTGTGTAATGTACAAAACTATTCAAACGCTGAATGTATGTTTCAACATTTAAATCAGGGATGACGAACTGGTGATACGCGAGTTATTTACTAGAAATTCAACGGCACATAGTACAAGAGCAGCTTATTTCACTCATTCCTTCGACACTCGGTCTGATTAATACATATGTGACCGTCTCAGGAAATAGCAGTACACCAGAGTCGGCAGCACATAAATGAAGGGATGTTCCACCAGTCAGATGCGCAATTCTTCCGGCATGTTTACAAATTTGTCCTGTGTATCGGATTCCCGAGTAATTGGGTCGGGTCGAAAAAATTTGTACGGATCCAGGCGGGTACCCGAGGCGCATACGAATGTTCGGGTAGCGCGAGACATTCAAGCGACCCGGTTTCTTTCGACAACTCATATATCCCGATTGTATCAAATACTCCGATTCATTCGGATAGTTAAAACTTAAGCGGATTTGAGCGAGTTTCTACGATAACGAGGTCTTAACTAATTTTTTTTTTAACAGAGATTTGCTATTTATTGTCAGATAAAATCGATAGTGGAAGAGCGGTTTTTTTATATGGGAGAAAAATCTGACTGGTAGTAGAGCGACAGCAGCTACCGACGGAGATGTTCGTCATCCCCGATTTAAACGGTAGAATAAACTAAAACACATTTTCTAAACTGATATCACGAACGTTTCATTCCGCATAAAAATTCGCAGTCTGGTTATCTGTATTTAACAAATGCATAGTTTATCTGTAAATGTAGAGAAAGTGTGCAAGTATACGAATTTTATAATTATGGTATTACTTCATTTCCCGTTTCGAATCCCATTTCGCCTGACTCGTGTTTAGTTTCTTTTTGTGTTAGGGTGCTAATTATACGAGACGCGAGGCCTCGCGCGCTCGTATCGTCGAAAATTGGCACAATGAGGAATTCATTAGCCCTCCGCGGTACAAAAGCTGCTCGTTCTCGACTCAGCGTGAAGTTACGTTTCGTCACGTGTCATCGCAGGCGTGAGAATTTTAATACGCGGCGACAATGGGGACAGATCATTGTTCACATCAACATCGTATTCTACATGTCGACTACAGACAGAAAATACATTAAGTTCGGCGTCTCATACAAAATTTGATATTTTCTGAGCAGGTAGTAAAAATAAAATACGTACATATGTTCTTCTGAATATGTTGTAACATTTATCAGCATCTATGCATACTTGGATTAAATTATTGAAAAATCGGAAGTCATTGGAAATTTTAGTTCTTCATTTGTTAGCGTATCCAAGTCTAACTCGTGAATTCAGTTCGGACACTGATTTTAAGTAGCCGTGCTTAGGATTGATCATTTGGGCAAGGATTTTAAAATAAAAATGCCAAGATTCTTAAACTAGATCGTAGTTCTTCGCTTGGTACCGTTTCCAAAGACTTTGAAAACGCTACCAACCCAGGTCTCACCGCGTGGAGGTGACTACGTTCGAGACCCGGACAGTGGACAATCCCCACTGCCCCCTTCCCTATTAAATTGCCACCCTATTATACGGAGCGAATATTGGAGAAGGATTTTAGACGATTGCGAACAAGACTCTAACTATTGACTCTAACTATGGACTAACTATTGACTCTAAATGGAAACTAAGGTGAGAACAAAATGTCAGACTTCACTTGGGCACCAGAGTTCGAGCCGAGCAGGACCCTGCACCCGAATGACGATGCCTCAGCGCAGGAGTGGCCTGACCACGACCAATCCGTCTCACGGAGCTTACGCACTGCACCTGGGAATGGAACAGGAACAACCCCAGCGACTGACGAGACAGGCCACCCGAGATACAGGACCACAACTCTTTTCTCCCTCCGGTACTCGAGCAAAGTCTGACTGGTAAACTACTATTCGCGGCGCGGGTATACTAAAACGCGAGCAAAATGGATTGACTGAAACGAGAGAAAGAGGGTTGAAGTTAAATTCGCTCCGTTATAGGGTGGAATTTAGGAAGGCATACTGCACACTAGTACCGGTACCCACACACTCATACTCATACCGCACACGCATACGATTCGCAAGGGAAGGGAAAAGGGGTGACTCGACCGGCCTTTGCCGATCGAGTGACTCGAGGAGCGTCGGGGCTCTGTACTTATACCCTCTCGGGGATCGACGGTTTGGGCAAAATGACGTCTGCGCAAAATAATTGGCCGATTCTTAGAAGGCTCGCCTCCTGATTTGCATATTCGATTACTCCCGCATTTATCGATAATCGGGCAGGATTTTTTTGGTCATTCCAAAGGGAATGACCAATTGACCACTGACTTTAAGTACCCACCCCGTAGGATTGGTCAACTCATCTCATTTTAGTGGGCGTCAAAAATTACAGACCGGTTTTGGGGCCGTGAAGTCCCATAAGGCTGCCACTCTTTAGTAATCTCTCCTCGGTGGTTTAATAAAATAATCGATTGTAAGTAAATCAATTTCAAATCACGGTTAGAGGGACTAGCTTTCATTGCCGTGCTATGATAAGAACGTTCTGCCTTATCAACTAGTAGTAAGCCACCCCTAAGATAACATCATATGCGAAATATACCAGTAGTACCACTGAGGAAAGGAAAGTAAGCGTATTAAAAAGTAAAGAGAAAGGTAGACAACAATGAACTACTGATTAGATTTTGTTTTGATCATATATTCATATTTGTACAATATCTGTTTATACATCTGTCTTATTAAGGGAATGGACCAATTGAGGTTGTAGGTGGAGGTACACAAATTCACAAAGTTCCTCGAGAGGAGGGATGACCGAAAGATTTCGGATTCTGTCGTTACGCTCGATCGAATAAGTCGTAACTGACGATCAATCATCGAAACACACCCTTTATTACTATCGTATAGTTCCGTTCTCTGCGGGTCATTTTGGATACGTATTAATTTATTCTTATTCTTCTTCTTTACATTTTTATTCCTAGAACAGTGATTTCCAACCGCGTACATTACGTCGTTAAACGTCGTCGAAGTGTTCGATATTTCCGCGCGTATTTTACATGATGTAAAGTTTGCAGCAAGTCTAACATGTTATATTTATTATCTTTATATATTTTATAATCGCCTCTTCTTAATTACTTTTGACGGTTCGAATAGTTATCATTTCAACACTGTAAATCGTTCGTATCTCACAAAATGATTAAATGGGTATTTGTATTCGAGGAATCATTGTGCATCGTGATTTATTATGTACCGACCTTTGATAAATTCTGGGGTTATAATCTGTTCATCTTGTAACATTGATAAAATTACTGGCGTCCGTTATTCATTCGGAGTAGCCATTATTGTTTAAAAACATCTCTCGTGCCTCTCTATCCTTGATAAACTCTGGGTTCATAGCAATTACTTTGTGCAACATCGATAAAATTACGCACACATAAACTCTGTGTAACGAAAGGGATCGCGATAATTCTGTCTCTGTTCCGCGCTATTATATTTTCATCTATATACTTTCATCTGTAACAATCCGGTAGAACTATTGACGGCGCATACTTTCTTACACAATTTACAATCTTTACAAACCGGCGCTTCCGCGATTCTTCGGACTAGCGAATAGGAATAATGGACCATCTAAGAAAAAAGATTGAAACGTCTCACTGTCCTAGAAGATCCGCGGATTACATAAATATGTTTCAATTCACAAGTAGGAGAACGTGAAATAGAATCAGTACTTCACTTTTGTCATAGGAATAGAAAAATTATTTTCCAGGATATGTTATAAAGCAGTTAACTTATTAAGGCCCAATATAACGGGTGACTGTAAAAGTTCGCGTCTGATTTTCACAGACGCTAGAGATATGTACTTTTGACTGTTCAGATGTATTTTTTATAATTATATTATTAACTGACAGTCATTTACATGCCTCGTGAGTCAATGTAACTTCGAAAAAAGTTTATTGAAATTAATTTATTCAAATAATTAATTCATTAATTAATTAAGAGTTTAAAAAAGGAATAAGTGGAACTGGAACAAAAAATATTCAATTCGTTTATCTGGACTGTTGCTCTTAGAACAATTGAAAAGGGATTTAATCGATTCCGAAGTGGTGACTTCAGTTCAAACTCTCATCATTGATAATGACATTATCCGTGATTTAGTGAATAATAAACCACGGATTACCACTGAACCTTGCTGAGAGTCTAAATTGACAATTAATAAATACTTTTTTCTTATAAAAATATGTTGTACTTAATTGGAATTTTAATCGGGCACGAACTTTTGCAATTACCTAATAATACACGATACTTATAATTGTTTCTTCAGCCATTTTGAATTAACTATTGTTTCCAATATAATTCAACTGAAAAATTATTACTTACTTATGGACATTAAGAGATCTTAAGAAAAGAGAAGACATACGATTAACAAATTATATAATTTGTTGTTTGGGCTTCAATAAGTTAAATAAGATGAATAAGAAGAAGGTTATTTCGCGTTCTCTTCACATTCTTCTCTCTGTCCACAGTGCTTCCTCGATCATCCACGTGCGATAATCGTTCAGTTTTAAAGGATCGGTTAATAATTGGTATTTGAGAATGTCGACGTCAAAGAAGCGTCTTTCGGTCTACGCGGAGAAAGAATGATTCTCTCGCCGGTACAACGCGCATGAACGGAAACGATTCTATGGTCACGGCCAATTCTAATTTTACGATTCTTTTACAAGAGTTAGCTTACGTACACACGTACTATCGTCACAAGAATAAATCGGGCATAATCGATCGGTGTTCTGTCTCGCTAAAGGTATAATTTATCGTACTCGAATTTAAACCCGTAATTCTACCGCACGCTGTGATTCTAATCCACATGCGCGACAATCAACACTTAACACGTAGGGACATCACATGAAATTCTGTATAGAACGATATACACCATTTAGTTTTACGCTTAAACTACTTCTTATAGATGCCTCACCCAGCATTCTGTCTCTCCGCTACGAACTTCCGACCTCCTAACATTCAAATGGAACGCTTATAAGTATACGAGTTTCATAGAAAGGTGAGCACTTGATTGTGAGAAGCGAAATTGATAATCTCTCCTCGAGGCGGAGCGTCAGAATCGTATTTTATAAAAGCTTTCTTAGAGGAAACAAAGCATTGAAGGAAACGTTCACGCGAAATACGTTCCAGAAGTAGATACAATTGAAAGCACAGATTCATCACATAAATACTAATTTAAGGGTTCTTCATAGAGTTAATCGAGTCTGAATCGGAAGGTGTAGTAAATCGAGAACATCGTAGAACCATTAAAGTATTTTGGGCAGAATGTTGATCGAAGTTGAAGTTTTTTATATAATTTTAGATGCATAATTCTGCACGCCATCGTTCATAAACATTGGGACACTTGACTTCGTACAATCTGTGATCGTTGCTATAAATTATATTTATTTATTGTAACACTAAATGTATACGACGGTTTCACTCTCTTAATAATTTTCTCTCCTTCCTTCGAGTCTTTCTTAATAATTATGTAATATTCCAGTTATTACTATTTATCTAATTATTTATCAGTAGATTAAAAGTCATGAACGATAGCGTACGTCTCCTGATATTTTTAATACTGACGTCTATAGGTCTCGGATGATTATTGTCATCCCTTGGCGTCGAGATGTTTCGACCCCACAAACATCTGCTCTTCTCGTTTTACATTTAAAGCATTATATTCGTGGTATCATATAACTTTACAAGTGATCGACTGATCGTCATCGTTCGTTGCTGATCACAATTAAGTCACGATTGCAATACACGTTCGATTACGAAGACCGAATACGCTATTTATTTTACGCTCGCTTGCCTTCGTCTGTTTCGATTTAGGCCGTAATTGAGCAGTATCTGTACTACATCTTGTATGAAACTGTGCAATTGTCAAGCGAAAGTACCACCGTCCATGGAAAATCGTCGACCATGTTTCCAAAAATGTGATCCAACACAATGTATAGAAAGTAAAATCAGTGATCTTTCATTCTTCAATTGTTTTACAATATTTTTTGGTTTAAGGTTGTATGAACCATAAGATCTCTGCTAAAAGCAATATTTGAAGCAATGAACTATGATTGTCCTGTAATGTCCTAAAAATGTCCTATAATTCTTATTTTTGCATACTTTTTATTCTATATCTCAAATAATATCCTCGAAATTGACATTATTTCAACTTTAAAATATTCTTAAATCATGTATTAATCGTTAATATTTTCTTCCGAAATTTTGTACAAGTATTCCTTTTTTCATTCGAGCCTATTCTAAAAAAATTTTCATCACGAGCATTAAAAGCGAGAGAAGCAAGATATCAAAAGCGAGTGAAACACTCTGCATAAGTACAGGTAAATATTTTCCGATGATTATATCACGTAAGCGTCAGAAACTAAAAAGAATCAGTATAATACTAATTCTACTAGAATCAAAGCTTCGAGACGAACAGAAGGCCTTTGGTTGAATCGAAACTTGAGCATAGAGAGAGAAATATGAAATGTCATCGGTAATAAACGCGGTCTTACCAGCGAAAATATTCAGCGACAGCTTTGATTAATAAATAGGTCGCATCGAAATCTAGTACGTACTGCCTACGACGTGCTAAGCCACTTAGAAAGGAAGAACCTCCCATTTTTATTAGATTCTTTTTTTAGATGATTGCATTCGTTCAACAGGATTGTCCATGCGATTGAACATCGAGCGCGAACAATGTCATTTCGGGAGCCACGCCGGTGCGTAGCCGACGACCCTCGCCGAAAGTATCTTCGCGTCTAATGTACTCTTAATGAAACGTTTGGATATGTTTGTAGGCCGATCAGATTTTTCGTTTCGAACGGTCTGTACGAGCGTTCGTTTCGTTTTATTCGTTTCCATGATTCTCCCCCTGTCGTTTCTAATAGAATCATCACCGTCGAACAATCCGTGATTTTAGACTGTAAAAAATCGTCACTCCTTTCCTGCTTCCAGTAAAACGCGGCAAGAGTCGAGTTCTTAGAAGGAATCGTTATTAATTAACGATCGAGTAAAGGATCTTCTTAGAGAAAGACGCTTTGAAGAATTTCGAGATTGATAGTAGTAGTGAGGTACGAGTCTCGTTACACCCGAGCATTTGTGTACTTATAAAATTCTGATTGCGGATTATCGCGGGACAATGTTTCTCTTTAGTTTTCCTTTCCCTCTCAAAACTATTCTCCGTTTCTTGCTGGGAGAAGGTCATCGTCCAAGATAATTATAACGCGTAATATGCTTCGGTCTCGACAGATATTAATCTTTATCGTCCACGAAATTTGTTTAAATGGTCCATACTTTTGTCGGTTATTGCTTCGTGAAGTTTTCCTCGATTTAATGAAAACCTAATTATTCAACGTGACAATTATATTAGAAATTAAAAATCTGACGAGAATTGTAGTACATTTTCAAAAAATTGATTCATCAGGAGCTTCTCATTAATCATCCATTCTAATATTATATCAATATATATAAATGAAAATTGAACTGTTCATATAATTATCCTCGAAATTGACATTATTTCAACTTTAAAATATTCTTAAATCATGTATTAAAAATTATACAAAATTACAAAATTCTGTCATTGTTGCGTTAATATTATTTTTATGAAATCTAAATTCTGTCATTCCACATAAGAATTCAAGATATAATAACTTTTATAATAGACTCGCAAGACTTCTAAAATTTTGTGCTGCTAATATGTAGTAACTGTTGAAATTTCAATGTCAGTTTCTGTCACTGTTTTTATGTAAGGATTCATAAAATCTTAATTACGACGTAAGTAAAAAATCATCACTTTCATCGTGGATGGAAGAACATAAATCTATCGTGCATGATTTAGAAACTTTTGATAAATTCCGACATGGTCGCTAATTCTCCATCAACGTTATTGGTGACAATTATAATACATTATAAACCCGTTTGTACAGCGTTGAATTTGTTAAAAATAAACGAAGCCAGGGTCAATCCTTGTTAGTATTAATTTTCATCCGCGGCTATCTAGGATCTATTTATACTACAACAGTGGAATATTAAAAAACGAATTGGGAAATTTGATTTTCGTGATCACTCCATCTCAATAGACTCTTCCTTTTTATGAAAAGTTATTCAATTTTATCGGGTAATGTGCTCTATACAAAGTTAAATAAAGAGATTGTTAATGCGATTTTTCATACTAATTATTAGATTAAAATATGTATTCTTCGAATGGCTGTGAATCATTGTCAAATTTAATATTTGAATGAATAAGCGCTCCTGGATTTCATATACTTTCATTACTGCAGTAACATTTTCTCATTTCATTAAATTCAAACCGAATATATTATTCTCCTATTTCAAGAATTTGTAACATTTACAAAATTCTCGAGCAATCAACTCTAATAAAAATTGCATTACTCACAGAATAACTCAATAGGAACGCGCACCAGTGCAATAACAAAAACGTAAGGCAGTCGTCAATTTACCGAAGAGCAAACTAGAATCATCCAATTATTAATTATAACGATCACAGTGACGTCACGTGAAGTCTGATTGAAATCTGCGGGCAGAAAGAGTGCATCGTGTCTGGCGTTCTTCTTTAACGAAGTAAAGAGGCGCGATTCGATGAGATTGTCTTCGAAGACTTATTGTTAGACGTTAGAACGAGTACATACAACATCGATATGTACGGGAAGAGGCTGTTGCTTGGATGCAAACCCTAATCTTTACTATTTACTTATTTCGTTCCGCGGCGTGACTGTACGACCGCATTTGAACGAACGGCGATCTTCGAAGGACATACAATATATTCATTCAATTTTCAACTTCGAGGCTTTCTTCGTTCATGCGGTCGATTTATCCCGGTGATCTATATATACCGCAGGTACATACATACAGTTATACTGATGACATTACTTCTATACATTTCTACAATTATTTTACACGTACTCGATAAATTATAATTCCGTATACTCGCACCATACACAGTTGGATCAACGATCTCGATTGTCAATTTCGATACGGCGGCGTACGTACATATTACCTTACTTTTATAAATATGTGTATATATAATAATATATGTAGACTTCTTTTATATCTCAGTACCTATGTTACATGTATCTTTAAGTACGTGTATAGATATATATTTATATATGTATATGTAGTATTTTTAGGTAGGAGATACAGTATAGTCACAAAGATAGGCAGACTTGATTCATACTCGAAACCGAAAGATTCATCTCGTATAGTAGAAAAGAGTAAAAGCAAGCAGAAAAAAAATACGTTTTCCCAATACACATGAATTTTATATAAATAAAAGTAGAGTGAATGTACGATTTTGATATCTTGATTTTATCGCTATTGTTGATTGTTGTCTCGTTCTTTTCGTTTATGTTTGATCGATATTGAAT